TTGATTGAGTATTGAGTTAATTTCGAGATTGTTGTCGATAATAAACTTTTTAGTACTTTGCTTTATGATGTTAATTACCGAGTCCTTGTCCGTTTGATTTTTTATACAAGTGATTACCCCCAGTGTCGTTTTTAATAAAAATTCGTAAAAAGAGTTTTTGTCTTTGAATGTTGGGGTGTAATAGCTATTTGATTCTGTTTGTTTTTCCTTACTTAAACATACATTATGCAAGAGCTAAATCTGTCTATTGCAGGTCTTTCTTTAGGCCTGAAATGTTATCTAAATTATTAATTAGACATTAATTAACTTATCCAGACCATAATCAACTTTAGATGGCATCGCTAGCCTGCGATCTTAAGTGGATTGTGAGCCGATTTACTGCATAACTTTCCTTCTCGATTAAACTATTAAATAGATAATCAAGACTATGCTGTTTATTGTACTGACTTTAGTAATGATGACCGAGGCTAGGCAGGAATTTCATTCACTTAGTTTTCGGTTCATAGTGGATCAATTTGAATGGAATTTTCAGCAAATTGCCTTTATGTTATCTAGTTTTTAACTATTATAGTGAGAACTGCCAACTCGTTATCGAATCTCCCATGATGTATCTTTAAGTTTGATTTTTCAATTACTATATTTTGCCTTCCAACGTTCGCTTCTCCTGTGTCCCTGGAGGACATTAAAATTAATTTTGCTTCTCTGAAAGAAATGTTCTTGGTACAGTGCACTCTGTCACATCTGACCCCTGATCACTCCGGCACTCTGTTACATCCGTCACCATTTATATGTCCCGATTTATTTCCTTATTACTTCAGTCAAAAAATCTCTGGGTAATTCGACCTCTGTATGTTCCGGATTACGACATCAATCAGCCATCCCGTCATACGATTTCCATTGAATCGACACCGTATAATCCGGCCTTCAATAGGTAGTGTGAAGCAAACACATACCGATCAATTATCCGTGAGATTAAAACTGGATGGGTGTGAAGCCGCAAAAGATTAACAAGCAATCACCAATCAATTATCTGTGAGATTAAAACTCGCTACCGTGGGTCTTTGTTGATTACTTTGATAATTGTAATCTCTTGTACGACAGTTGTAACAAATAATCAAGAATATCCACGAATTTTCCCCCGAATTCAGTCCTAAAAATATTTCTAGCACCTTTTGGAAACATTCGTTGCGCATGCCGATTGAACCTAAATAACCTATAAGTTTGGTCACCCTACGGATCTCTTCGAACCGTGTGACGAAGACCTGGGGATGCTCGATTCACAGTCCGGAACGTCCCGAATTGACAGAATTGCAATAGAGTGACGCAGAATTCAGCCCTGTCACAGTTCTGTCAGTCCCGACGACGGAGGTGGTGTGAGTAGAATTGTGACGTAATTAAACACGACAAACAGGTTTCGGCTGCATGGTTGGATGAGATATTTATTTATCCAGTCGACGCATGCTTTGTAGCCCGAAGTACCCATTTTCACTCGATTTTCACTATTTTTGGGATTGAGAGAATTCAATTCCGGAACGTTCAATCGAGTACACCCATTATCAATGAACACGTGAAAGCAAAGACAAGACTGCGATCAACTGAAGACGGCGAAAAAGATAAATTAACGACAGACTTGACCTATTCAAAATGCCTACGCATGTTAAATGAAATAAAAATTAATGTAATAAAGCTTTGAATGTACAGAAAGGTTTATCATTTTTAAAGGCTCAATACCACTCTTGTTGTAACTGAATAATATGTCCCAATCTTTATTCTGGTCAACAAATTGTACTATTTTACAATATTCCAATTAATTAGTAATACAAATTTCATCTTAACATACCTAATTTAAAAAATTGGAAAACTTCAACTAAATGATTTGAAAAGCCTAACGTAAACCTTTTCAAATGTGACTTGGGTTTAAAAATATTTTCGAACCCTCTGGACAAGTAAAATAGGATGTAATGGATAATTTACACAACAGGTAGGACACTTAAACATCTATTACGGTACTTAGAATAAGGCTATTATTTATTTTCTGGAGCTGGAGCTGCCAGTAAGAGTGTTATTGTCCCTTTAAAGGGAATAACATTCTGGTGATTCGAAGTTCTATGTTCGAAGCTACATTATAATAATACTTCCGGTTTTCGAATTTACAATATTTCCGGTTTTGAGAAAACTGGGTAATCCGACATTGTAACGAATCCCGTACGATGTCGGATGTGACAGAGTGCACTGTATATTGAATTCTGAGAATTTCTTTTATTTCAATGAATTTAGTGCAACTTTTGTAATTTGACTTGTGACTCCCGCCACAGTTGACACATTTTTATACGCCACAATTTCTTGTGAACACTTCAACGACAAATGTTATCATCCAATTGTTTTAAAATTGATGTATGTTGTTTACATTAGTGAAACGAGGAAGCCTATTGAATTTCAATAATTTCTGTTTATTACATCTAGAGTTATGGCCCTTGTTTCACTTTATTGAACCTTGTGAACGCTCTAACTCCAAAAGTTATCATCCGATCTTTCTGAAATTCATATGCATTATTAAATTAGTGAAACAAAGAAGCCTATTGAATTTCAGCAATTTCTATTTACTACATCTAGAGTTATGGCCATTGTTTCACTTTATTGATCCTTGTTAACGCTCTAACACCAAAAGTTACCACCCGATCTTTGTGAAATTTATAGGCATGATTTAAATTAGTGAAATCTTGTGAACACTCTAATGACAACAGTTATCATCCGATATGTATGAAATTTATATGCATCATTTAAATTTGTGAAACGAGTCTATTGAATTTCAGCAATTTCCGTCAATAATTTCTAGAGTTATGGCGATTGTGAACGTTTCAATGACAAAAGTGATCATGTGACCTGTATGAAATTTATATGCATTATTTAAATTAGTAAAACGAAAAAGCCTGTCAAATTTCAACAATTTCTGTAGATTACTTCCAGAGTTGAGACCCTTGTTTCAGTTTGTAGAACCTTGTAAACCCTCAAACGACAAAATTTATAATCTGATCTGTATGGAACTGTCTTGTAAAGGCTCCCAATTACCTACAAAGGAATAAATATGCGACAACCCTTGTCGGCCGCTCGGACGATTTAGCTGCTGTGGGCGTATGTTTTGTTGCCTGGCAACCTATCTTAATATTTCAGATGAGCAGGTATTACTGCTGTGCGAGTCTGAACATTTCTCGCACGCTGTTTTAGCCTTGCAGTGAGACTCGTTATGTTCAAACTTTTGACAGTTTAGACATATTTTGACACGGGGGGAATATACGGGTATACTGTTCTTATCTAATAGCCTAATTTTATTTTTTCTGGGAACTGTCCCTTTTTAAACTTGACTTGTATGGTTCCCGATATTTTTGCCATCTGGGATTCTGTACCTATATACATTTATAATATGATATCCATTACTTTGCAAATCGTCTAAAAGTTCTTCGTTTGACTATTCACCTGGTACAGCATCAATAATGCCATGCTCCTGGATGAGAGATAGGGGTGGGGCAATTACCACTTCTACCCCGTTTAATTTTTCAATTTTGCACGCCATTTCTGCATCGCTGGCATTTTCAAACGCCAGTCGTACGTTCCCATTTTGTGTTTAACAGACATTCAACATAGCTTGTAGTCGCCATATTGTTTTTTTATGTAAACAAAGAATTACTTCAGGTAATAATTTGAGATTTTGAATGAAAGTTGGATGTCGATTTACTGCAACAAATAAAGCCGCCCACTTTATTTATTTGAGTAAATCTTGATATTTTGTGAATTTCTACTTAGCTTGTAATGTTTGATTATCTTTGGTTGTTACGCCTGGATGAGAAATTGGCAAAAATATCAGTTTCCTCTTCAAATTCAAACGTTTGAGGATAGCAACTCCATGGTGGAGAAAAGAAAACAAGGGCGGTAATTGTGTTATTATTTCCGGTGTAAATGAGTTTTAAGTGTGAGAATGACACCTATTGTTGTATAATAGTGAATTGACAATCTATTGAGCAAAAGACATAGAAATAATTATGTTTTGACTTTCTAAGAAAATATGAAATTGTGACTTTAAGTCCAATTAAGAATTAAGTTGATTAGTGTATTAAGCAGATTAGGATTAGTTGATAGTGGGTACTTGGAAGGAAAAAAATATAGATATTACTGTATAAAGTTTTTATTTTTCTCTGTTTGATATATCATACATCACATTTTACAATTCAATAAAAATATAACATACAAATAATAATGGGATAATTATAGTTACAACAAGATTTGTTTTTATTAGAAAAGTGGGCACACTGGCATGCGACCTAAAGAATGATCACAGTATTACTAATTATAAAACAAAACACACACACCTAAATAAATTGATTAAATGTTAAGCTTTTAATCTGTTTGATCTTAATCGTCTGTTGATTGTGATTAGGGCAATATACACAAGGATAATTAATTGGCAGTGATTTCCATTTGTGGGCTACTGAACACTGTTAATTTTATTATACCCGACAGTTTACATCACGACACGCACAGAGTTTCGTCATGTCCGGGGATTTTATGTTTTAGCACAAAATATGCAATTTTTCCGGCGTGCTAGGTACCAAGAGAGATAAGTCACGTGACACAAACATGGCCTATTTTGATCGATTTTTTATAGCCAGGGTATTCCCCAACAATTGCAATGTTCTGAGAAGGATTTGAAGCAAAACTATGATAAATTAATTAGTTTGAATATGTTTTTAGTTCAAATATATCATCAAATCCCCCAGTTTGTACCCGGGAATGTAATCTTTAAGCACTAACCACCACCCTGTTTCCCAAGAGAAAACCAAACATCAGACCTCTATCTCTTATAGTTGCTGAGAAATAAGCTATCCCCCCCCCCAAAAAAAAAATAATAATAATAATGAAGAATAATAATAATCTTAGTAATAGCAATAGCCTTTCACCAAAGGTGAAAGCCTAAATATATATGTATTGATATATATTTATTGTAGAATGGTATGGAAGTAATAGGATTTACATCAGATGAAATAAACCAAGTATTAAAACTAGTATCTACAGTATTAAAACTTGGTAATATAGAATTTACACCTAAAGATAATAATGATGGTACAGATGGCTGTGATATTGGTGCTGAAAACGGTACGTTATTCTTGTTCACATATATTGATCATTGTAAATGCCTCATCAGATGTACTGCACTGCCTATACAGTTATGTTGAATGGTCTTTTACATGTTCCAAGATGGATATACCAACATGTAGTAATGAATTTATTAATATATTGTGTTATAGAGGTACAAGAGGTGTGTGAATTGTTAGGATGCAGTAAAGGTATATTAGCTACAGCATTAACTCAAAGAACTGTGGAGGTTAAAGGTGATAAAGTTAAAACAGATTTAAAATCTGCTGAGGTAAGTATCTTTTTGGGTAAACTAGAATAAATCAGGATGTTATTTTATCTACTTGAGGTCATATTTTACCTGTATTAAATCTTTATAACTCTGTTTCTAATTAAGCTAAAATGTTCAAACTTAGTAAAGATCTTTTTTATACGCCCACATGGAAATGTGGTCGTATATTGCCGTCTCCCCCGTCCATCGTCCACAATTTCTTGTGAACACTCTACAGACTACATTTATCATCTGATGGTTTTGAAATTGATATATATGTTATTTACATTAGTGAGATGAAGAATCCTGTTTAATTTCTCTAATTTCCGTTATTTTCTTCTGGAGTTATTGTCCTTGTTTAACTTTGATGCACTGTGTGAATGCTCTAACAACAAAAATTATCCAATCTGTATGAAATTTATATGCATCATTTAAATTAGTAAAAAGAAGAAGCCTATTGAATTTCCGGAATTTCCGTCAATTACATCTATAGTTATGGCCCTTGTTTTACTTTGTTTAACCTTGTGAACGTTCGAACCACAAAATTTATCACCCAGTCTGTACGAAATTTATATGCATTATTTAAATTAGAAAAACGAATCAGCCTGTCAAATTTCAGCGATGAGCATTTTCTGCTTATTATGAAGTTTTGGACATGATAAATTTGAATCTAATTAAAGGAGCATTATGGGAGATTAGATAAGGAGTTGACAGCACTCACTATAATAGTTAAAAAATAGATAACGTAAATAGAATTGCTGAAAATTTTAAATTGCTCCACTTTGAATTGAGATATTAGCTTTTCAATTCTAGGCTAGTCTCGATCATCATTATTAAAGTTGGGATGATAAAAAACAAAGTCTCGATTATCCATTTTTACATTTAATTATTTTTCAAAAAATGTATTCCAATCCACTAAATATCGCAGGCTAGCGATGGCATAGAGAGTTGATTATGGTCTGGATAAGTTAATTAATAATTAGATAACATTTCAGACAAACAATAGACAAACAATAGGCAGATTTAGCTCTTGCATAATGTATGTTTAAGTGAGAGTAATGAAACTTCAGTGTGTAGTTTCATCTGTATCTTGAATAAGTTGGATAATTGGCATTTTCTGCTCTTTTTTATACGCCCACATTTTCATGTGGACGTATATTGCCGTTGTTTGTGGACACTCTACAGGTCGCAATCCTTATCCGATTTTGACGAAACTTGAAATATAGGTTTATCTCCAAAAGATCTTGATTCCTTTCGATATTGGCATGTATCGGACCAAAACTTCATGGATTATGTCCCCTGATTGTACGAAAAATAACGTTTATAGCTTGTGGACCCAATAGAGGTCACAATTTTTATGCGATTTAAAAAAAAGTTTGAATATATCATCGTTACACCCTAAGGATGGTTGAATTCGAATTTCGTAAAAATCGAACCAAACCTGACAGACAAAAAGTTTGTGGACACTCTATAGGTCACAATTCTTATCCGTTTCAATGAAACTTGAAATATAGGTTTATCTCCCTAAGATCTCGGTTCCTTTCGATATTGGCATGTATCGGACTGTAACTTCATGGATTATGGCCCCTGATTGTACGAAAAATCACGTTTTTAGCTTGTGGACCCTATTAGAGGTCACAATTGTTACCCGATTTTGTTGAAACTTGAAATATAAGTTTATAACTCAAAGGTCTTGGTTCCTTTTGATATTCGCGCATATCGGATCGTAACTTTCTGAATTATGGCCCCTGATTGTACGAAAAATCGTGTTTTTAGCTTGTGGACCCTATTGAGGTCACAATTTTTATCCGATTTAAATGAACGTGTGAATATATCACATTTACACCGTAATGATGATTGAGTTTGAATTTCGGACGAAAACTTACGGACAAAATGGCCGCCCCTCGTACACTAATAGAGGTCACAATTTTCACCCGATTTTGATGAAACTTGAAATGCATGTTTATAACCCAAGGATCTTGGTTCCTTTCGATATTCGCACATATCGGATCATAACTTCCTGAATTATGGCCCCTGATCGTACGCGGCAATACTATATACCGGAAAACACAGGAAAACAACCGGAAAACACCATTTTATACTGAATACCGGAAAACACCAGAAAAACACTAAAAAAACAGAAAACACACTAAATATCGGAAAATACCCTAAATAGGTAACCCGGAGACTAGCACCCTAAATAGGTAACCGGGAGCCTGGTCCTCTGTGTGCCTGGGTTAGGGTTAGGGATAGGGATAGTTTCCGGTTTATAGTATAGCCCTTCTCCGGGTTACCTATTTAGGGTGGTTTCCGGTATTTAGTATGTTTTCCGGTATTTAGTGTTTTTCCGGTGTTTTCCGGTATTCAGTATAACATGGTGTTTTCCGGTATAGCCCATCGTACGAAAAATCACGTTTTTAGCTTGTGGTCCCTCAAGAGGTCACAATTATTATCTGATTTAAATAACTGGTTGAATATGTCACCGTTACACCATATTGTTGGTTGAGTTCGAATTTCATGAAATGGTCGCCAGTCTACACAAATAGTGTAAACATCTGGTATATCAAGGTTGTGGACCCTCTAGAGGTCACAATTCTGATCCGATGTTAATGAAACTTGAAATACTTGTTTATAACCCAAAAATCTTGGTTCCTGTCAATATTCGCACATACTTGATCGTACCTTCCTGAATTATAGCCCTTGATGTTACGAAAAATCGCTTTTTGCTCAGCATGTTCTCTATCCATCTCTTGAAAATGTGGGCGTATCCAGCCTGGCAGCCGCTGTTTTGTTTTTTACTGTTTTACAGGCGTATTATGCTCGAGATGCCGTATGTAAAGCTTTCTATAGTAGAATGTTCTCTTGGTTAGTACAGAGAATTAATGACAGTATTAAGGTAAGACAGAAAGGTTTGTTTCATTGATATTGACCTTAAGTTGGACTGTGTTTACTTGTTGTTTTATCAGTGTAGACAGGTGAATTTATATGATAATTTGTGGAGAGTTGTTTTTTATACTCCCACATTTTCATGTGGACGTATATTGTCGTTGCCCCTGTCCGTCTGTCCGTCCACAATTTGTTTGTGGACACTCTAGAGGTCACAATTCTTATCTGATTTTGACGAAACTTGAAATTTAGGTCTATCTCCCAAAGATCTTGGTTCCTTTCGATATTGGCATGTGAAAATCGGACCAATCCTGCCGGACAAAATGGCCGCCCCATGTCTCAAATAGTGTAAAATATGGTATTTTCATGTGGACGTATATTATCGTTGCCCCTGTCCGTCCGTCCGTCCGTCCACAATTTGTTTGTGGACACTCTAGACGAAACTTGAAATATAGGTCTATCTCCCAAAGATCTTGGTTCCTTTCGATATTGGCATGTGAAAATCGGACCAAACCTGCCAGACAAAAAAATGGCCACCCCATGTATGCAAATAGTGTAAAATATGGTATATTAAGGTTGTGGACCCTCTAGAGGTCACAATTTTCATCTGATTTTGATGAAACTTGAAATGCATGTTTATATCCCAAAGATCTTCGTTCCTTTCGATATAAATGCATATCGGATCGTAACTTCCTGAATTATGGCCCCTGATTGTACGAAAAATCGCCCTTTAACTTGTTTTCCCTCTAGAGGTCACAATTTTAATCCGATTTTAAAAAAAACGTTTTAGTATATCACCATTACACCCTAATGATGGTTGAGTTTGAATTTCGTGAATTGGACCAAAACTTCAGACAAAATGGCCGCCCCTTGTACGCTAATAGTGTAAAAATATGGTATATTAAGGTTGTGGACCCTCTAGAGGCCACAGTTTTTATCCGATTGGACGAAACTTTTAAATTTATGTTTTAATACGCCCACATGGAAATGTGGTCGTATATTGCCGTTGCCCCAGTCCGTCGGTCCGTCCGTCCATCCGTCCATCGTCCACAATTTCTTGTGAACACTCTACAGACTACATTTATCATCTGATTGTTTTGAAATTGATATATGTTGTTTGCATTAGTGAGATGAAGAAGCCAAGAAGCTATTTAATTTCAATAACTTCTGTTAATTTCTTCTGGAGTTATGGCCCTTGTTTCACTTTGTTGCACCTTGTGAACGCTCTAACGACAAAAGTTATCAACCGATCTGTATGAAATTTATATGCATCATTTAAATTAGTAAAACAAAGAAGCCTAATGAATTTCAGCAATTTCCGTTAATTAAATCTAGAGTTATGGCCCTTGTTTCACTTTGTTGAATCTTGTGAACTATCTAATGACAACAGTTATCATCCGATCTGTTTGAAATTGATATGCATCATTTAAATTCGTGCAACGAAGAAGCCTATTGAATTTCAGCAATTTCCGTTATGTCCCTTGTTTCACTTTGTTGTACCTTGTGAATGCTCGAATGACAAAAGTTATTATCCGATCTGTATGAAATTTATATGTATTAGTAAAATGAACAAGCCTATTGAGTTTCAGCAAATTTCTGTTAATTACATCTAGAGTTGTTTACCTTTGTTTAATCTTGTGAACTCTTGAACGACAAAAGTTACCACTTAATCTGTATGAAATTCATATGCATCATTTAAATTAGTGAAATGAAGAATCCTATTGAATGTCAGCAATTTCCGTCAATTACTTCTAGAGTTATGGCCCTTGTTTTACTTTGTTGAACGTTCAAATGGCAAAAGTTATCATCTGATCTGTATGAAATTTATATGTGACCGACCGCATCTAAACGAGTCGGAATGCACGAGAATCAATAATGAGATAAAGACAAAATAAGTGAAAATATTGATTTTGAACGAAATTGAGATTTTCACAAAAATGAGTCTCTAAATATACTATCTATCGACACAGAAGATCAAAATAGTAATAAAACATTTTAAAACACCTGTATTTGAACGTTTTGTAAGAGTACCATATTCTTAAATCTGTCCTATTTCTTAAAATTCTCGGCGAAATTAGTAATTTGTCTTCGCTCACAACGGGATGACCGGTCATTCCTCTTGCATAACAATTGGCATCGTTGTAAAGCGGAGCATCTCTAGTTTATAAATATGATCAAAATATTGTCGATGAATTGATTTTGAACGGATACAATCAAGTTTTAAAACCCTCCAAAAATATAAATAAACTCCGTCTGTTGCCATGCTGTCCACACAACTCCTTTGCTGATTGGCCCAGACACCGCGTGCAAGACATTATCCATAAATGTTTGGTTTTGGTGATAATGTTTTTGGGTACTTACATGCGATTCACTCTGATAAGTGGCAGAAAAAAACAAATTCGAAACCACGTGGCTGATGATGTAAATTAATCTACAAGCTGGTGTGTGTCATTGAGTAACACTATTACTAATCAACTGTCACTGGTCAATGATAAAGCCGTCGACAACTCATTATTTACTCCGAATAATTAATCCAAGTGGTGATTATTTGATATCTCATATCATCTTTAAAAAAATAATCTATAGGCCTTAAATGGAAATAAACAAAATGGCCAATAATTTTCTTTTCGAAGAGAATTTTATTGATAGCTGAATTCCGTTTACCGTCGCTTCTTCATACGGCATGCAAAGTAAGGAATACATCTGGGATATTATTGTTTAAAATTCTCTTATCACAGTGGGGCGAAAAAATGAGAACGACCAATGAGCCGAAATGCGACGATTCTCAGTCTGTCATTGAGTATCCTCTGAATAATGTTGATATTTACATCAAAGCCAAAATGCACGAAAGTGAACGTAAGCATTTCTTGACTATGAAATTGACATTTCTATAGGGACTCATATTTTGATAACGTCACGGTACCTGAAAATAATAATAGACATATCGTACACGCAAAATCTTATTTTAATTCACTTGTTAAATGAACATGCGTACAGCTGTGGCGGCTTCTTTGATGATTATCCAATCAACAATCTTAATCTCCTGACCACTAGCTGGCACTAAGGTGCTAATTAATTGACGAGATCTCACTAAAGTTATATTATACACAACAGACTACTAATGTATAGATTGTTCTTCAGTATAACACTATCATGTGAATATTATGCTGTATGTGTTGTGGATGTTTCGTTACGAATCTAGTGCATTTGTTACGATTTTCGTCGTCAGCACCCTTAAAATCCCAAATAAAAAACATATTAAACAACAAAATATAGCAAATAAATTGCGGAAATAGTTGGATCAAATTTTTACTACGATTTTCGTCTTCAGCACCCCTGAAAACCCATGGAAAGATATATTCAACGACAAAACAGCAGATAAATGGCCTGGTTGCTATGGGATTTTGTTTTGGAACATACCAAATCTTTGACTTTTTCTCAAAACTTACTTTTGTGAGTTGGGTAGCTTCTAATGGACACAGCTCAGTCAATTTTTGCCCAATTCAAACAAACTTATACATCAAATTGAAGGTAATGAGTTGGAGAATGTGAAATAACAATAACTCAATTTTCAAAATTTCGTCATTGTGACTTTGTATGCTGTGGGGGGGTCACATATGCATTATTTGAGTTAGTAAAACGAAAAAGCCTGTTGAATTTCAACAATTTCTGTAGATTACTTCCAGAGTTACGGCCCTTGTTTTAGTTTTTAGAACCTTGTGAACCCTCAATCGACGAAAATTATGATGTCATCTGTATGAAATTGTCTATTAAAGGCTCAATACCACTCTTGATGTAACAGAATAATATGTCCCAATCTTTATTCTGGTCAACAAATTGTACTATTAATGTCTGTCTACTACATCGTTAACACTGTTCATCACATGCATTTTGCATACCGATAGTTCATTGGCCAATCACGCTATTTTACCGAGATTTCGCCTAATAGTTTGGATGCAGCTATGGCGGGTGTGGCGCCAAGCAGGGTAAGCTTACTCTTCCGGACACCTGTTACCACTGTTTGTCGTGTATTTTGTACACGGCGAGCAGTCCATTTGCTGATTACACTATTTTGCCTGATTACACTATTTTGCCTATACCGTTTGTTTTGGGGACACAACCGGTGTAGGCTGTCATTGATAGTCCATTGGCCAATCACGCTATTTTGCTTAGATTTCGTCTAATAGTTTGGATGCAGTTATGGCGGGTGTGGCGCTAGGCAGGGTAAGCTTACTCTTCCGGACACCTGTTACCACTGTTTGTCGTGTATTTTGTACACGGTGAACAGTCCATATGCTGATTACACTATTTTGTCTTATTACACTATTTTGCCTATACGGTTTTTTTTTAGGACTTCGAATTTTGTCTAATGGTTTGGATTGTTCGTACTTGGGTTTATTTTATTTACAGTATTCCAATTAATTGATGATACAAATTTCATCTTAACATACCTAATTTAAAAAATTGGAAAAATTCAACTAAATGATTTGAAAAGCCTAATGTAAAACTTTTCAAATGTGACTTGGATTTAAAAATATTTTCGAACCCTCTGGACAAGTAAAATAGGATGTAATGGATAATTTACACAACAGGTAGGACACTTAAACATCTAATACTTAGAATAAGGCTAATACTTATTTACTGGAGCTGTCAAGCCAGCAAGAGTGTTATTGTCCCTTTAAATTCCCCTAATTACCTACAAAAGAATAAATATGCGACAACCCTTGTCAACTGCTCTGACGATTTAGCTGCTTTGGGCGTATGTTTTGTTGCTGGCAACCTATCTTTATCATTAAGATCTAGGTTCCTTTTCAGGCCACAAAATTTCACGCAAACGATACCAATCGGTTACGTGCGGTCATGCCAGCTCAAAAACATGCGACCAATTTCCTGGTTAAGCAAATTGAAATATTGTTTACATTAACAAATTTATTCACTTTTGATTTATTTTTATACAAGATGACTTTGTGACACAGGTCTGAATTATTAGTATTATAGCACAAAATCCAT